CCACTTATTTCTAGATATTAATTATCATTCATGGTCGCAAACCCATGCAGTTTTACCCTTTGGGAGCACATCGTTTGGTCCCAGGGCAGGTGTCTGGTCCCAGCCCGTGCTGAACAAGTGTCTCACAGCTGGAATAACCGAGCCGGCCTCTTGCAGAGCTGGTGGAAGGATCGATTTCGCTGGAGTAACGTCAAGCCGCGGGGTTGTGACGTTAGACAGAATGGGCAGGCAGCTTGCCTGGTAAGGCCATCAGGATCCTAAGCACCAAGGTTTGCTCCAGGATGTTGTTCAGACTTTAGTGTACAATGCTCCAAGATTCATTGACCCCTCTCCTTTGTTTTTCCCAGCTTCTAAAATCCTCCTCCCAGCCTTTGGAAAGCGTAGGGAGAGGTGGAAAGTTCAGCCAAGCTGAACGATCCATGGTTTGGGGCCTCAGAGTAAATGGACTTGTTTGTTTAGCTGTTTGGTGCGGGGTTTTTTTTAGCAAACAGGACAGCACAAAACAAGACTGTTATTAAACTTACCGTGAACAGTCTGTTTACAACATCGCACAAAAAGGACACTAAATCTTTTCCCCTGAATCACAAAATAAAACAGCACTGGTCAATGCACTGAAGTTAAGCTGGCCCAGAATATTTCAGTCTCTAAATTAAGCAAAAATAATCAGACAGACAGATTTTCCTAATTCAGCCCTCCCAGCCAGCAACAGGGCTGAGATGTGCTGGCAACACAGGTGAGAATATTTGCTGCAACGAGATAATCATCGGATCACACCTGATACAAATCCGTTTTCCAAACTGGTTATCTCTCCTGCCTGCAGGGTCAGACTCCCGGCGTCCTGTTCAACACAACACTAAACACCATTTGTTCTTCTGGGCCAGAACAGCAGCACAAACTTTGTCATGCAGGCAGCCCAGGCTCCGCTTCCAGCCACCGATCTCTCGCTCGCAGTCCTGGCCAGACCTGGGAGAGACACAAGCGCTGCATCACGAGTACCACCGCGCAGGAAAAAACTGTGCGGGCAGAAGCGAGCAAAGGTCTGGGTTCCCTCGTCGGTGGCCGTTGTGCATCACTAGGAAAGGCCAGGTCACACGTTTTAACCCGATTTTCCTCATCTGTACGGCTGCTTCCCAGCTGAAGCGATGCTGGTGACGCAGGGCTGCCCAAAGGAGGGAGGGCTCGGAGGGAGGGCTCGGCAGGCAGGGAACCGACGCAAACGTGGCATCTCCTGGGGATGCAGCGTGCTCTTCAGCGTACGTTTCGGAGAGAACAGTCTTCCCCTCGGCTGCCACGGAGCTGGTCGAATCGCCTGGGAGGCTCAGAGGAAAGAGTCACCTTTCACACAATTTTAGAAGGCGAAAGACATCTTCATTTTTTGAACCGTATCCCCCAGGCTTCTAAAGGAATTCAATCCCTGATCCCACCTATCGAGCCCTGCGCAGGAGGGGGAGGAGAAGGAAGCGCGCAGGTCAAAGCCGACGTGTTGACTCCCCGAGGAAGGCTCGAGAGTGCCCAAATGACACGGCAGGAGCTGACCCCAAATGAAACTGCAGGAGCTGACGATAGCAAAAAGGGCAGCTTCTTGTCCCTTTGCTGGCTTAGCACATACTGAGCCAGAAAAATCAAGTGCTCAAATCCTCCTTATTTGTGAAAGGCCAGATTGCCACTGGGGGTGGCTGGGTACAGCAGAACCTGCTTCAGCAGAAAAACAGAGACAAGCAAAATGGTTCCTTGTCCCCCTAAAAAAAATAACCAGAGCTGGTCACGGACCAATTAGTGAAGTAATTTTACATCTAAAACTGCTGAAGAGTTGAAACACAGCACTGCTTTTGGAAAGGGGATGGCTGACACCTCCGTGGGCAACACACGGACCAGAAAGCTCTTCCAAATGCGGGTTGCTCGTAGCCGGCATGAACTTTTAGGCCCCACCAAATCATCTGCTCACAGCCCGCACCATCCTTAACTGGTTTTCCAAAGAACTGCTTAAGGAGAGAAGCTACAACGTGTTGAGACACACAGTGGCCACTCCATACCCCAAGAGCACAAAAAGCAGAGCCTATTCCAGCCTCCCTCTACCCCACTCTCGTTTCTTCTGAAGCCTTCTTTGCCCCCCGTTCCGGACAGAAAACAGACAGACTGGAGACAGACATGAACGATAACACACACAGTAACCGGTTCAGTTCATTGCCCGTCCCGAGCAGCGCCAGCAGTTACTCATTGTAGCGGTAAAATGAAGAAAGTCACTCACCCTCACGAAGCTGGCGGGAAACCATCCTTCTTCGTCATCGATCTGACCCCACCACCAGTCCTTGTTGGAAGCATCCAGGACCTTGATAACGTCTCCTGCTTTAAACGCCAACTCCCGGTTGGCCATGGTGACGTGATCCCATACTGCCTCAGCACTTACAATAGAACCACCACTGATCAGCTTGGGAAACAGAAAACCAGCAGTCAGTAACGGCTCCGTTCCCCGACGCGAGCACATGCACAGCAGCAGCACAGAGAAAAGCGCTCAGCCAAAGTAAAACGACCTTCCTCCGCTCCGACCCGAAACGATTCCACCCTCATGGGACGTAACCCAGCCCGCGACCACTTCTCCGGGCTGCCCTCCTGCTCCCGCCCACGCCATGCAAGCCAGCGCCGCGCGCGGACCGTCAGCACCTCTCGGGTCCTACGCAGGGGACAAGCAACACCTCCCCTGCCACCGCCACCCCGTATTTCGGAGCATGCGTGTCTGTCGAGGCACACGGCTTCCAGGTACAACTGGGTTAGCGTAGTGCGAGGCTGGGCGTTCCCAAAAATGGCAAAACCAAGCATTGGTGTCCTGCAAAGGAATTCTGGATTCAGAGCAAGCTTGCTTAGTTAGAGGATCAAATGTCAGCTCGAGGCTCAGAAGGTTTTCCATGCAAACCCAAGCAAAGCTTGCAAACATATTTAGAATAACACTTTTCTTTGTTTTTCAAACTGAGAGTTCGGTATGTGGTTAGTGCTGGTGATGTACGGACACCCCTTGTCTGGGCAGCCTTCCAGCTACCCAGCAGACAGGCAGGGCTCCGCGGCTCCCTGCTGACCCGTTTCAGACCCAGCCGAGAGCACAGGAGCTGGGCACAGGCGAACCTCGCCCTGCCCACAGGACAGTTTCACTGCAAGCCACCTAGATTTATATATACATATATATATATAAAACGCCGGCTTCGTGCCCGCAGGAAGGACTCATCCGAACACTGATGCTTGTGCATCCGCAAGACAAATGATCCGTCCACGCCTGGGACACCCGCTGCTCCTCAGAATGATAGCCATGTCTTTTTTAACAGAATAACAAATTGCGTTTATGTTTCGGCCACTGCAGGAATTCTGCACTGAACAGTAAGACTGCCCTTGCAAATACAGACTTTACCCATATGCTTATTAGCTTGTCAGAGCCATCCTGAACCTTGTTCATTAATTCCGCCGTCTGAAACGCACTGAATACGCACTTGGGCTCGCCTCCAAATCAGAATTTCAGCTCACAAAGCAAGAGCTCAGCGCCGCAACCATTACAGACCTTCCACATGGCAAGACTTTAACCGCCACGGACACCCTGTCAATCCAGGCAAGCAAGACAAAGCCTAAAGCCCATCACCCGTCGCAGTGGCTATGTAAGTGCAGAAGCACGGGGAATGGTTAGAGTGCTCTTCATGGCTCTTTTATAAGTTTGGCTTACCAAAATGCCTGCTAATAACTACCTGCACAGTAAGAACTTGCAGTAAACCTTCTAGCACTGCTGCAGGGTTCTCAGCACAAACACATGAGAGCATTCAAGTCCCTACAGGCAATTCAGTCAACAGATTAAAGGACCTCATTTACCGTTTTCCTTGAACTGACTTTCCTTTAAGAAATCAAGCTCCTTAGGTTTGTGACAATTACAGTTGCGGTTTCAGCTCTTCAATTATTCGAGTCAGTTGTATATAAAGCAGCAAGATCTAAGCGAGCCTAATTTGACACTTAGTGCCTTTCATCCTCAAAGCCAAGCTGTATCTAGTCAGTGGACCTCTTGTTCCTGCAGCAGATAAAGTAAAACAATGCTCTTCCCACTTCCATTTTGACAAATCGCCCTTTCTAATTCAAAATCAGCTGTAAAAGAAACACGGCCTCCTCCCACACCGTACAGGGCCTCACCAGCTCACCCACCAGCAGACCGAAGGCAAAGGCACGGGTTAATAACAAGCTCTCACGGAAGCATCAAGCCATGGAGCTTATCGACGTGCTGAACTTCTCGCAGAGGGCATCTGCTGTACTAGCGCAGATGTATCTCGCGTCTCCAGGCTTTCGATACAGAGCGGCAAGGAGCCAGGCACCAGAGGATCCCACCCAATCAAGCGGCCGCTGGAGCCAGATGGTGAAGGACCCTCAGTCCGCCCCAGCTCTGGGCCTTCACTTAGCAACGGCGGGTAGTTACATCTGGAAAAACAACAGTTGTAAGGACTAATTTCTGTTTCCAGCGCAACAACTGGTTTCAGTGCTCCCTCACAACACCTCGTGTCGCTCTAAATCAAAGGTTTCTAGCTGCTTTCACAAATATGAATCAGTTTAAACCACATAGAACCCCGAGACAGATCTGGAAGGAATGAAGACTTCACGGATGAAGAAAACCCCTTTGGTATATTCAAGATGAGCAAAGAGTCATCTGCTTTTCTGCCAGGACTGAGGTCTTCTCCTTCACTAGTGTCTCCCTGTCGCCGTGTCCATGGACACTGTCCCTCCTCGCCCCACCAGCGCCTTCCTGGGCTAAGCCAGCTCTGCTCTCAGCCCGGTCTTGGAAGACAGCTCTTCCTGTCCCTGAGCACTTCACCAGCCCTTCTCGGCATCTCGATATTTTGCCTCCATCTTTCTTGAACGCAGATGACCAGAACTGTAAATGCTATTCCCAAAGAGACCTCACCAAAGATTTGTGAAACAGCATGAAATCTTGATTGCAGTGTCACAGATATCTTGCAGTAACACACGGCATCCCCCCTTTTTCTCATGGCTGCCTCCCAGCCGTGGCTCATTGCGATCTTGCATTTA